TGAGAATAAAAATTCAATGAAAAAGGGAATTAAAAGAAAATGAGGAAAACTAATTATACCCAAATTTGAATATAAAGTACCTATTCCATGTTTTTCCATCAGTCCTATAAGATCAGCTTCTGTTAGTAGTTCTGGTGCACTTGTTTCTCCTTCAGTCATCTAAAAGATAAATCAGTATCAATTGCCCTTTCTAAATTCAATTAAATTTGATAAAAGAGAAAGAATTGCGAAGTTTTTTTTTTTTTTTAACTTTTATTTGCATGTAAATACCTCTATAGAAGAAGGCTGAAAAACTTCATTTGGACTGTATTCTCCAATAACCTAAAAATTTTCACATTTTGATTAAATTATTCTTCAAAACTAATAAAAAAGCACTTATATCTGAACTAACCAATAACATACTTTTGCATTCCATCTCTCATATGGGTAAACATCGAGATAGTTCCTTGCAATGATCACCAGCCCATTAACAGCAAACTGGGAGAAATCACGAAGAGTAGTAATTATTGAAAACATAGTTTCATTTTAAAATAAGATGCAATTTAACTTTTTTAAAACACATTCTCAATAGCTAAATTTTACACACCCTTTCACCTTTTATTTCAATCTCTATCGTTGTTTCTCGCCCCTCTGCATCTTTGGACACACATGCAAGAAAATGTCGAACAACAAATTCATAAATAGTTTTTTCATTTCCCTACAGAAAGAAAAAAAAAATATAACATATTAAATGAAAAAGACATATATATATGACAATTATTGCTTCTTAATCATTTTTTGAAATTTTAAGTAAAACCTTTGTCTGAGAATAGTGTTAAAAGAAAACATTTTGCAAATGAAAATTTCATTCAGTTGAACTTCATACAATCAACTAGAAGGAATATCACACAGATGAATATCATGTGTTGAATGATTTTTCATATTTCAACTTAGAAATATTGAACATCATTTCTATATTTTAATTGAGAAATATATAAATTTGTCTAGAAAATGTTAACACTAATGACCTGTTTCAAAATATTTCATTTTTTGCCCGTCTTACTATTCCTTATGTTAGCTTCAAAATAGTTTTAAGATTTTTTGGTAAATTTTACACAGATTAATTTTTATTCAAATAATGAAATAATGAGCATTTTTAAGCTTATACCAGGTCAGAATTTTTCAATAAACAGCTAAGAACAAATACAGTCAAAAGTCGTTAATTCGGACACCCATAATCCGGAATGATCTATAATCCGGACCTCAAAGCTAAAATCTTTCTGCGCATGCGCCGCATTGACGCATGCGCATAGGCGTTTTACTCGTGCGCGCAAGACATTTACGACTGCGCATATGCGTCTGTGCAACTACAGAATATGTTTTTGCGTGCGCGTTTAATATATAATGGACGGTATAAGCTAAAATTATCTAATTATCTATTTCAGTTAATGTTGATGATTGAGTTGTTCCTTAATCTTCGAACTGGATCCGGCTTGTTATTTTTTGCAGACTGTAGAGCAATTTTCTAAAAGTAAGCTTGAACTTTCGATTATGTCAAATAGAATTTCCGATGCTGGAGCTCCCAAAGGATCTAGAAAACGAAAGTATGTTTCGATGTCCATCAAACAAAAAACGAATTGCTACAAAAAATGGATAAAGGCATATTCTTTGTTTATCTAACCGTTCCGAAATCTGTTTATCAATTTCACGCTGCTCTGCACGGGGGGGGGGACGTCGCGGCGCGCAATGAACTGGAAGTTGATTTGTCAACACTATCGTTATCTTCAGGGCAGATGTTTTTATTTTATTTGGCTTATAATTCCTTACTAAATGTAGTATTTAATTTCGATGTACTCCGTCTTTGATATGATTTAAATCAAATTCCTCGTCATCATAAATATCACGAATACAAATCAAATAGTTTTCTGGTTGCAATTTTCTAATTTTCGGCTATACGTAAGGTTATGCTTTACGCATCCGCGCGTTGAAAGAAATGTTTAATAAAGTAAACAACAAATAAATATTAGGCTTCTTTTTTGGTAAATTTTGATACCCTTTAGATCATAATTGCTCATTATTTTATAAATTACGGTTTCATATTTTTAATTTTATAATTTCTGCATGCCATCTTACCAGATTTAAACTGATGATCTATAATCCGGAAAAATCGATAATCCGTAATCGCCGAAGTCCTGACGAGTCCGGATTAAAGACTTTTGACTGTATATGTTTGTAATATATGGACGATTTCAAAAATTATACATAAAATTAATTTTAGATTAGACTATTCTTGAATGCCTGAATTACACCCAAATTACTGCAAAAATTCAGATCTTGAAACTGCATATTATTCAGAAACAGAAAGCAAATCGCAGTTACAAGTGATTATATCAGCCATGTTTTGATATTTGAAGATGGAAGACTTTAATTTGACTTTGAAATCAAATTTTTTATAAAATCTATGCCAGTCTAATATTATTTTTTTCCAATTACATTTGGAAATAACTAACAGAAGAATAACATATGTATCTGCACACTACAAGTGTTTCATATGTAAGATGCCCCTTAATTATCATCTACTACAAACATAATGTGTACAGTATAAAGTCTGGAATAAATACCTCCAGCAGTTTTTTTAGCCCAAAGGCTATTAGCCCAGAAGGGCTATTAATTTCCTTTTGGCATTTTGCGTTGGAAATTTAAATGCATTGAATCACTTTTCAAATTGTTGCCAGCAAATATTACTGCAATGTATTATATTTAAATAAATTAAAAATTGAAGACTTTGCATTAATGTATGCATGTTTCTCACACTGTGATAAAACAATAGTACCTAGAGCCATCAAATTTTGAATAACGTAATCCTCATATTATATGAATATGGGTATCTGGAAGCCCAAATTTGGAATATGGAATTTGTTTTATCATCTATTTCATATTTTGTAAAACTTTAAGGAATTTTTGATTAACTAACTCAATGATTTCAAAGTAAGCAATGGCAACACTGTACCTTTTTTTGTTTGTTTGTTTGTTTGTTTGTTTAAATTTTCAGCGAGTGGAACCGTATCGGAAATTCTATAGACATGCTCTTTTAAAATTATTTTGTGATACTGCTGTTGAATTAAATTTTATGGTTTAAAAGCAAAGAACATTATATTTAATAAATAAGGGTAACACACAAAACGTTACAAAAAAAAAAGACACTTTGGGTGTAATATAAAATCTGAACACTCTTAATTTTGTTTTTTAATTCTTATCTTATTTTTTATTTTCCCTTACAAAGGCTTAATAGTGAAAAATATAAAACCACAATCGGGGGGGGGGGGGGGGTAAAAGTGATTTTTAAATTAAGATATTTATAATTAAAATAGAAATAGAAATAGAAATTTTAAAAATATGAAACACTTGTTTGTAAAATTATTTTACAAACAACTATTTCATATTTTTTAATTTTATAATTTCTGCATATCATTTTACTCGATTTAAACTGATGATCTAAAATCCAGAAATTGCTGAAGTCCCAATGATTCAGGATCTTTGATAGTGCATGGTTACTGTTACACATATGTAAATGCAACTACAGCTGCACATACCTTGTAATATTTCTAACGTATCACATCACAACAAATGATAAGAAACATATGATAATAAAATGCTCTATGCCTGAAAATATCTCAATCAACTAAGTACAACTAAACTCATCAAGTGACACAATAATGTTCTATTTTCAGCTAATGTAATGTGCACGGTTTAATTTAGCACTCCATATGAAGTCTACAGCACCAATTATGCAGATCTAGCATAATCACATAAAGCTAGCGTAGTCTTAAAAAAATCTGACAAAAATGCCACAAGCCTTTGTAAAATAGGTATGGCCTATACAAACAAGCATTGCAATGGTTATCAGTACATTTTTAAATCAGTTGGATAAAATATTTTACAACACAGTTACTCCATGCATAAGTGGTGATCCCTGCCATACTTCTCAAAAAGCATATGATATCTATAACCAGCCTCTTTGGAGTTCACATTACCTGTAAAGGGCTACAGCCATCAAGAGTTCTAGAGTTTGGAACCATGCAAAATGCCACCAAGGGTTTTAGATCTTGGAACTATACAAAATCCAGCAATTTGGAAAAGAACATTACTGCTGGAAATGACCATATCAATCACATTCACTTCATTGAGATGTTTTGAGAATGAAATGCCAGATTTCAAAGTGCCTACAGGAAGAAAATGGCCACACTTCCAGTGCCTGTTGAAATGCAATGAATGCAGCAGATATCTTTTAGAGAGCATTCAGACTATGATGTGGCAATCATAAGTGGCCTATGCATAATTTTGTTGCCAGCCAATGAAACCTTCCTAGGAGTGAAATTGGTTGTAGGGTTTTGGATTTTACAGCTCTAGGTTCTCAACTTTAAGCCAAGATTAGTATGCTGAAAAGAGAAACAGCCAGATACAGTATAATCTGTGATGTCATTTCTGAATTTTGTAAAGAGTTTAAATTGATTGAGCAGTTTCTAATAACTGAAAAGGGCAGGTGGTGGTATACCTTATCTTAATACCAATATTTTGAGGCATAATACAGCTTGATGTCAACATTTTGTTGTCATCCTTGAATACAGAAACTCAATATGGGTGTCAAATTACCTTTAATTAAAAAGTAACTAGATTTATGGATATAGTGTATTAATGTGCAAGAAGACTATCTCAAACTAAAATTTCAAACAATTTAAAATCACTGAAATGTTATCTCAGTTGTTGGTAAAAACATGGAATCAGCTTTGATTTGGAGGGTATCATAACTTGCTGGGGAGTAATAAAGCTTAGATTAGTCTTATTCTAAACCAGCAATAAAGATTATAATGCAACAAATGTGAAAAAAAGAATTCAGAGCATAATAAAAACTAAAATTAAAGAAACTAAAATAAATTCAACCTGCAAAGTATTGGTGTATTTAGTAGGATGAATAGGAGGATGTGCATTATCTGTTTTAGTGCCTTGCCTTGGATCTGGTCCCCATTCTTTCACACGGAGTGCAAATGCTAAAACATTGAAAAAGTAAAAGAATTCATAAAAAATTAATAACAACAAAAATTGTAAAAAAGAAATTTAATAATCAACAGTTTAACAATTAGAATTACAGTTTGCTTTATGTAAAAATATTGGCATTAGGTTGTTGCATTTGAAATGGCCAAAAGAGAATTAAAAGAAGAATACCTGTTTAATTAAAAAATTTCCATCATTATCAACGCATTGTTTCAATGTTGGAAGGGTCATTTATATGTCTCTTGGAGAGATGAAGTCCTCCACTACCCAATAAATTGATGCAAGATTCTCAAAACATGGTTCAAAAGCTGGAAAAAAATGGTAGCCGGTTGGGGTAATGTCAGGAGAATATAAAAGATGAAGTGTAATTTCATATCCCAAATAGTTGATTTGCTGTATGATTTCTATTCACAAGTGCTTGTTGCCTATGACATAATTTGCCACGCATCTGTTCAACATCAAACTATATTTATTGTTTCACCTCATAAAAAGAATGAGTAATGAACCAGCAGAAGACTACCATTTAATGAACAATATCCCTTGATGCAAAGGTGCCTTTGGAGTCCTTTCTGAAATGTCTTTCTCTTCCAACAACTGAAATGAACACATTTAATTATCGAAGACTAACCATTTCAGTTAACAGTCACAATTCATTACAGAAGCCTATCTTTACTTCTTCTGAAAGGAGAAAAGCACAATTCCAAATGCTGTATTTTGATTTCACCATTTGATTTCAGTGAATGCATGTACACTGTATGAAAAAAAAAAAAAAAAAAAATTGGGACTGTTCTACATCTCCCATTCTATTGGGCCAATTGTCGAAATTCAAATTGAGTTTTTCATGTCTTGAAAGCATGACTTAGGATATGTATTAGATTCATATATAGCATTGTTCTAATATGGGTATTTTTATACAAAATTGGATCTTTTTCTGAAATGACATGCAAATTTTTTTCCATATTTCGATTCTACGACTCAAATGATGCCAAACTGCCACGTTTTGAAAAAATCGTGCAAGTAGTTTTTAAAAAATTAGCTCTCAGAATTTTACCTCCTCAATGTTAATTGAATTTGATATATATTTATTAATACCTCTTTTTCTTAAATTTACTTGATTTCTTCTTCCAGAGTTCGAAATTCAGGCTTAATACAAGTATAATTCGCACTTTTTTATAATTTATTTTTAAAGTTTGTATTTTTAAATATTTTTATAAAATTTTTAACATCATCTTAAAGTAAATGTATTTCTAGGTTTAGGTATTTCTAAGAATTTTTTATTCAAAATTTTTTAAGATATACATGAATTTACATATTGGAGCAGTTTTAAAATTTGGCATCTTTTTTTTTAGCAATAATAATGAAAAATGATAATACACACTTTGTTATAATTATTTGAAATAACCAAAATTGACTTTTTCTCTGCTCATCTACAATGAAAAAAAGAAAAGGAAAATAGGTTGCTATAAATTAAGAAGTTCGCCAAGTAAATTATTCTTGGAGAAAACTGAAAAAGTATGGCGAGATAAATTTTTGAATTTCTCTGTAAATTTCGTGTCAAATTTTACAAAATTTAATATTTAAGCATCATTTGAGTCATAGAATCAAAATATGTAAAAAAATTGGCATGTCATTTTTAAAAAAAGGTCCAATTTTGTATCAAAATACCTATATTAAAACAGTGCTATGTATAATCTAATATATATCCTAAGTCGCACTTTCAAGACATGAAAAATGCGATTTGAATTTCATCAGTTGGCCCAGGAGAATGGGAGATATAGAACTGTTTTTTCTTTTTTTTTTTTTTTTTTTTTTTTTTTTTGCACAGTGTAAATCTTTGTGTTTCCTATTATTTTTAAGTGTAATGCAGCAGTTGAAAAGTAAACATTTAGTGTCTGAGCAGTCTCTCACAAATTTGCCATGGATCTGATTCCATTAAATCTTTTAATTCGTTCGAATCACTGAAGAAAGGAAAGTAGCCATAGGTTTTGTAGCCTCAAATGTCCTCAGTGAAGTTTTGCAACCCAGTGGCAAGTGGATTTCCTTCGCAGTGTTTTACCTAATGCCTTATTGATGTCTTTTTCTGCAGCTATTGTAGGATTTCCCAGTTCGTTAAGTTACAGCACCCTTAATTGAGTGGGTTCCACAACTGACAATGTCAATATTATTGCATTTTTAATATTCATTGAACACTCATGCACTTTTCTGTCAAGAAGGTTGTTGGAGATTGCGTTAAACATATGCCAATCCTGTCGGTGGAATTTTAGAGGCACCTGTTGATCTTTCTTCAAACAATCACATATTGCTTTTTAATTAATTAGTTAATAATCAGATACAAGTTATGGATATAGCATATTCAAGAGATTAAATAAATATGATCTTAAGCTATGAGATTGTCTGGCAAATTCATTACAACTTACAAACATTTCAGCAACCAAATTCTCTAGTGACATTAGCATAAAATAGCAATAAAAAGTCACCTTCTTGGGAAGTAAATGTAGTATAAATTCCCTTAAATACAAATCTTAGTAGTGTCACATAGTTCTGTAGTATATTTTACTGCATCACTTTGCTAAATCCTAGAGTCTTTCAATGTCATAATACCAACTAATTTTACCAACAATGTTTTGTGAGTGTTTACCAGTATAAACAATTCTGTAACTTCGAAAATATTCCACTGCTTTCTCTTCTAGCACATTTCAAATTCTAATTATTTTTTTTAACCTTTTCGTGATCATCAACAAGCTCAGCTCACAATCCAGAGACACACTGCAATGGGCACAAATAAACAGCTCGTGTTACAAATTTAAGACTGACAGATATTGTGCATATTTGGGACAAAAGAAATGCTTAATATCGCAAATATTGTGTATATTTGGCAAGAAAGAAACACTTGATTCCACAACTGCCAAAAGGTTAAATATGAGCGAAAAGCAGAGAATTAGCAGTTAACTTATATCCTTTCGTACAAAAACTAAACTGGCTTATTGAGAATCGGGGTTCCATAAAACCAAAGGGAAGATGTTATAAGTATGTTGAGATATCACATTTAACTGCTCCTGGTGCTAAATTTCACTGTTTGGTGACAGTTTTTGTCTGTCAAAAAGCTTCAACAGTAAAATACGATAAGTACCAAAATATTTTATTTATTTATAGAGAAAATATGAAATTACATTCATTAAAATTTCGGCTAATCTTTGGAATATGTTAACAGGTAGTTTGGCGACATTTTGGTAAAGCGATAAAGGTTACTAGGTAAAACTTTAGCAATAATCTGAGAAGTACATTCCATCTTGTATCTTGTGTGGAACAGTGTTGTTTAATATTTGGATCCCATGGCCCTCTCTAAAGTAAATCCCAAATTTTTATTGCAGTTATGTGATCATCCAAAAGAGTTGTTAGAATGGTGTATGAGTGTAGGATTAATTGCAGATAAGTATGAATGTCCAACATGTGGGAATGAAATGAGGTTGTGTGAAAAGAAGGATATTACTGATAAGTTTGAATGGCAGTGGAAGAAATCTGGTGAAAATGGACTTTCCGGAAAATTCCGATCGTGATTTTAGCTAGCCCTTAGAAATAATTTCGCACCTAATCTTCGTCATGATTAAGCACTTTTGTTCCATAAAAGTTTTAGCATAAGTGTAATTCGGCTAGCAGATTGTTGGAAAAAATGTTGAGTAAAAAAAAAACATGCTTTTACTTCGTGAAAACAAAATGGCGTCCAAAAAAAAAACTCGCAGGTTACTGTAACAGGGTTGGTCGCCATATTTTCGCCAAAAAACTGCTAAGTTACCATAATCCGAAGATTCACCAAAATTTCTATACCTCTGAAAATTATTTTTTCTTTTACTAACAGTGTTTGACTGCAGATAGGTAATTACCCTTAACTGGTATCTTTCCAATCTCTCAGAAACTACTGTAATAATGATATCAAATAGCAAAGTACACATGAGAGAGAATTTAGAAGCACAAATTTACTAGTTGATTGACTGAAGTACACTGCACAAAAAAAGAGAGACAATTCTATATCTCCCGTTCTACTGGGCCCATTGATGAAATTCAAATTGTGTTTTTCATGTTTCGAAAGCGCGACTTACAATATGTATTAGAACATTGTTCTAATATAGGTGTTTTGACACAAAATCAGACATTTTCTGAAATAACATACCAACTTTTTTTTTCCATATATCAATTCTACGCCTCAAATTACGCCAAACTACCATTTTTTGTAAAAATCACACGAGTAGTTTTTAAAAAATTAGTTCGCAAAATTTTAGCTCCTCAATGTTAATTGAGCTTGATGCTAAAGCAAAGTTTAAAGTTTATAAAATTAAACATTTAGCAGCAGTAGCAATAGAAGCTCCCTGAGATTATATGTTGTGCAGACATTGAAGACAATAAAGAGGTTTCAAACTTAACCAATTTATTAACAATATATATAAAAATTAAAAACACAAAGAATAATTTTAAACAACAGCAGAGTCTTAGAAAAATATAATATAACCATCATTTTCAAACTTTCATTCATCAAATAATATTTTTACCTGGTCTCCAAAAAATACTGGCATTCAATACGAAAAACAATATCGTAAACAGAAATTATGCGGTCTCAAATGAAATTAGCTACACATTCAATAAGTCCATGCTTAATGGTCAAGAAAGCACCTGAAATTTAAATTAAGTCCTTGAAAGCACTTAAATCAGGTCTAACTCTGTCCACAGTAGTTGAACACAAGGAATCGCTGCTAAATTATTTTAAATGCCGCCTTCATGAAGAACATGGATGCCGCCCATGGCAGTCACTCACATTGTAGCCTCTGGAACCAAGGAACTTATTCTGGAAATAGTCATCTTGTGGACAGGAACCAAGGAACTTATTAAGGAATAGTCATCTTGTGGACAGGAACCAAGGAACTTATTCGGGAAAAACCATCTTGTAGACTGGAACCTTGGAACTTATCCGGGAAAAACCATCTTGTAGACATTGGAAGCTCGGAACTTATCCCCGGACTGCACGCATCGCAAGATGTCTTTCAAAAGGGGCTGGAAACCGCACACCCAAGAGCCAGGGAAGCAGGAACTAGAAGGGCTGAGCCAGAGCGACGCGAGATACTTATACCAGAAGTAGGCATGACGTCATCTCATGGCAACCAATCAGCTATCGGCACGATTCGGCTTTCCAGATGACGTAACATCACGTTTCGTTTTTGCATCTTAATTAGTCTTAGAAAAATATACCAGAAGTAGTCTGTTCTCAACACAAACAGTGGCAGTAAGAAAAAAGAAGTAGAAGTAACTACTATATTACATTAAAATAAGAACTGAGCCTAATAAACATTTCAAGGAGGAGATATGATGCAGTAAAAGGATTACAATAAGTCATATTTTCCAACAGAGCTTGGTATACAGTCAAAAGTTGTTAATTCGGACACCTATAATCCGGAATGATCTATAATCTGAACCTCAAAGCTACAAACTTTCTGCGCATGCATCGCGTTGATGCATGTGTGCAAGACCTTTATGGCTGTGAATATGCATGTGCATAATACGTTTATGCATGCGCATTCAATGTATAACTGATGGTATAAGCTAAGCTAAAATTAACTAATTCAGTTAATGTTGCAGATTGTGTTGTTCCTTAATCTTCGAATTGGATCTGGCTTATTATTTTTTGCAGACTGTTAGACAAATTTTATAAAAGTAAGTTTGAACTTTCGATTATGTCAAATAGAATTTCCGATATATATTTACTAATATGTAAAGGATCTACAAAGCGAAAGTATGTTTCGAACAAAAAGTGGAATTGCTGCAAAAAAGGGATATAGGCATATCCTTTGTATCTCTAACCATTTCAAAATCTGTTTATCAATTTCATGCTGCTCAGCGGCGGCAGCGGGAGGAGGGGGATGCCGTGGCGCGCAATGAACTGGAAGTTGATCTGTCAGCACTATCCTTATCTTCAGGGCAGATGTTTTTATTTTATTTGGCTTATAATTCCTTACTAAATGCAGTATTTCATCTCGATGTACTCCGTCTTTCATATGATTTCAATCAAATTCCTCGTCATTATAATTCACTTCCCATAGCAAAGAAAGTAACAGAGGTTATTGAAAACAAAAAAATTTCGATTGACAAATTAGTCGGTATTCTCGACACAGCAATTATAAGGAGTTGAACAGCGGAACTTTGTAACTGAACAAGAAATTATGTCTGCTTATAGAATTAAAGAGAATGTATTATCACATAAAAAACAAAGCAACTTAAACAACTTACATTGAAAGAAACGTTTAATAAAGTAAACAAATAAATATTAAGCTTTTTTTTTAATTTTGATACCCTTTAGATCATAATTGTTCTTTATTTCATAAATTACAGTTTCATATTTTTAATTTTATAATTTCTGCATGCCATCTTACCAGATTTAAACTATGATCTATAATCCGGAAAAATCGATAATCCGGAATCGCCGAAGTCCCGACGAGTCCAGATTAATGACTTTTGACTGTATATTTATTAATCTCTCTTTTTTTTATTAAACTTATTTGATTTTTCCTTTCACATTTCAAAATTAAGGTTCATTCCAAATAAAATTCATCCATTTTTTTTGAATTTATTTTAAAAATTTGTATTTTTAAATAATTTTTATAAATTTTTCAAAAACGTTTTGAATTATAATCTGTAAAATTTTTACCACCACCTTAAAGTAGACATATTTCTAAGCATACCTACAAAAAATTACAGTTTTTTATTCAAAATTTCTGAAGATATACGTGAATTTATGTATTGGCACATTTTTAAATTTGGCATATTTGTTGAAAGCGATAAAACATCAAATGTTGTTTATACACTTTGCTAAAATTATTTGAAAGTAGGAACGAAGTCACTTTTTTTCTGCTTATGCACAGTGTGAAAAGTTAGGAACGAGGTAACTTTTTTTCCCGCTCTGGCATAATGGATGGTAAAGGAAAATGGGTTGCCATATACTAAGAAGTTTGCCAAGAGAATTATTCTTGGCGCAAACTGAAAAAATTCCATTAAGATAAATTTTTGTATTTCTACGTAAATTCCACACCAAATTTTATAAAATTTATTATCTAAGTATAATTTGAGTCGTAAAATCGAAATATGGAAAAAAAATTGGTATGTTATTTCAGAAAACATCCCATTTTGTGTCAAAACACCTATGTTAGTACAATGCTATATATAAATCTAATAAATATCCTAAGTTGCATTTTTGAGACATGAAAAATGCAATTTGAATTTTGTCAATTGGCCCAGTAGAACGAGAGATATAGAACTGTCCACCAGCCTTTTTTTTTTTTTTTTTTTTTTTTTTTCCCTTATTCAGTGTACATGGTAATATTGCAGTCTTCTATATAATTTTTAATATCCTTATCATTACAGTATAAAAAACTAAAGAGAGAAATCACATAATAAAAAGATGCTACCCATGGAACATATACATTAGCCTTGCTTGTTAAATCCATTCTATTTATTAAATATGCCAATAATAATATGGATATGTGTTTTGATCTTAGTCACAACTGTGACAGTAAAATAATCTAATGTGAAATGTTTTTGGCCTTCCAATTAAATGAACAAAAACTCTGTTACAAAAATAAAATATTTTACCAACTGCATATTTAAATTTAAATTAAAATTTAATTTAATTTAGTTTAATAATTAATCTTTTTTAAATTACTTAAAGCTTCTTCTTCTTCTTCAATTGTACTACAGTCTATTACAGGCCAAGGCTCTCTCAACAAGATTCCTCCAATGGATCGGAACAATTGCTATGGTCTTCCAATGATTTATTTTTAAAGTCTTAAGATCTGCCTTCACACAGTCTATACATCTTGTGGGAGGTCTTCCTCTTTTCCTGGTACCCTCTACACTTCCCAAGATCACCTTTTTAACAGGGTTCAGTTTTGTGATGTTATGCTTACTCCATCTGTTCTAACCTCCAAGTTTTTTTTAATTAAATTTGGAACACAAATATTCTATGTTTTGCCGAGTGGCAACACTTTTTTTTTAATTGCCGAGTTTTCTGTTTAAATTTAAAACAAATACCTTATGGTTTTTTTCAAATGACAACACATTGCTTTTAAATCATCAAGTTTGTTAATTAAAATATTACTAAATTTGCAGGAAATATGAAATAAATAAACTTCAAAAATCAAAAAGCATTTGAGGTGTGCATGTTTGGGCTATGTTTTTCAAAATTTGGTGGCCCTTGCCTGTTGTTTTTCCGCACTGCAAGGAACATAACAAACATACATACATACAGATTCATCATTATTTAATGACAGATTTATCTGCTAGAAATGTATAATCATCTTATTTTACATTTCTTTTCATAGCTTTCTATTCATTAGGATACCTAGATCAATAATAAATATAAGAAAAGAAAAATATTTTGTAAAATAAGTTAACATAATACATAATAAGCGGGAATAAATCTTAAAAGCAGGAGTCAGACTATTGACAGGCTTAAATATGTTGTGACATTTATGGATATCTTAGTATAAATTATCCTTTCAATATTAATATACAAACACAAACCTATACAGATATTGAGCCCATAAGGTTCTATAAGAAACTTAATACAGAGTTAAAAAAATTTTAAGTTAACTGGGAAAAAAATCTTCAAGAGAGAAATGCTAATTCAAGCATTGATTTCATAGAATGCATCTTACCTCCCCAATTAGAATCTTCACACTGCATTTCAACTAATGCAATAAGATTCAACTCCTTAGGAAAAATTTTTGTTTCTGTCCTTGGATAACTGATAAAACCTTTAGTATACAGTTTCTCAGCTACAGCCATTGCTTCTTTTGCATTAATACGTAATTTTCTAGAAACCAGTTTTTCAAATTCCTGTAAAATAATAAATTCTTTCTTGGATAACATAGAAAAAAAGGCATATTAAGGGGGGCACTGACATTTTTCAAAATGCTTTTTAATTATATACAATACACAATTCAGTTACTGACAGGCAAACATGTTTATTAACGTAATCCTAATGACTACAGTCCAGCCCCCCCTTTTTTTTTTTTTTTTTTTTTTTTTTTTTTTTTTTTTTTTAAGAAACCAACTAGCATAAGAATATCACTTGCCACATCTTTTGACCAGCAGCTTGCCAATATATTTCAATGCAGCTGCACAAATATAATATATGCGTATATAAAAAGATTGAACATTGAAAATTTGAATCTTTACACTTTTTTTATGACTCGAATTTCTGAAGTCCAAACCTAAAATATCGCTAAAATTTTCAACTCAAAATTTGCAAAATATTAGTTTTATTTATATCTAATAGAAGCATTTATTTAAAAATATCTATAGATATACATATAATATCTATATCTATATTTATCTAAGAGAAGCATTTATTTTTAAAAAATGAATGGAGTTGCAATAGTTATTATTCAGCGATACCTGGATTCCAATGACCCTGACAAACAAGCTATTTCCGCATGCCAGAAAGCAAAATTATTATTATTAATAAACCTCCTGATTTAGAATTTACAAGTAATTAGCATATTGCATTTGCATTCATCAGGGTTTGTACACATTTCTGCACACGGAAATTAAGTACTTTTAAGAACCATTAATGAAAAAAATTAAGGAACTATGAGCAAATGGAAACTGAATAAATTCAATTTAAAATATTATATCTATGCCTGAACATGAATAGGATGCATTATTTATTAAACATAACTTAATTAACATAATTATTAATATGTTTGAGTATAAAATTTTATGAAATTGATCAAGTAGCATTAAATATTTTACACTTATAATAACTGGACATATTTGAAAGAAGATAAGTGACATTTAAGTTATGTTTTACTAACAGTTAGCTTTTTTTAATGTCTCATTTTGTCACATACTTGCTCAGTCTAGAGGTTTAGTAAATAGTAAGTAGATTTTATGTCAAGCAGCATTGGTTAAAATTTATGATTTTACATAATCAGCATGATTCATAACAAAAGACTGGCTGTTGTCATCAATCCTGCTTGCCTATAGAGAGACCCGCTGATCAGAATAAACCTAAAAGGCTTGATGTAGGCACAGTTAGAAAGTTTTGAAAGTTAGCTGAATTTTCAAATTCCTGTAAAATAATAAATTCTTTCTGACGCTGTTAGTGTCTGATGCTGTTAGTGTTGTAGCTTCGTGTAGAGTTCTAGGAGTTGTAAATCAGTTAATATACTTTAAGGTTCTATTAAGCCTCTAAAGCATTAGCGGTGATAAGTTGTTTTGCATTAAGGTGGTTTGTTGACAAATGTCTGCCTATTCGGTCAACATAAGCAAATTTAGCCTTTTACTATCTCATGAAAAAATGCAGTGCCATAGTGAAAAAGTCTGCTGCTACATAGAAATACATCCTCAAAATTCTGCTGAATTAAAAAAATAGCATACTTTATCATGTTATATGTAAATAAATATTTGCCGAATATCACTTTTGTTTTTTTCGCGTTTAATTAGTATCAATATTGAAAAATAGAGGGCGCCACAACACCATTTCGGCGGATAGTCAATTTTCATTTTGGGGTAATACTTAATTTTTCTGCATTAAAATGGATAATATTTTTATCTTAGGAAACGAAGCAACATTTACAGATTCACCATGACACGTTTCGTTCATCAAAATGTTATTTCTACAGCACAAAATGTGCACATACATAGATTATATTCAAATACTTTGCAAAACTAAAGGCTTCAGTAACATCATTGCATCTTTCGCCAAGTAGGAAATTTGGCGAATTTTTCACGCCTGTGTTGTAGCTCGTCTGCAGAGTTGAACAGGTTTCGAATGTATACAACCCCCTGAAAAAAGTAATTTAGGAGGACAAAACGTTGAAAGCTTTCAATAGCCAATCAAGATAACAAAACGTTGAATTTTTTCAATAGCCATCTGCAGAGTCTTGAAATAAAAACTAGTTAGTGCATTCAACAAAAAATTTCTCAAGAGCAATGTTTGGCTCTCCACTAAATATAATTCAAATGATTAATTATTTGACTAATACTATTAATAAATATTCAGCTAAGGGTTATGCGAGAATGTGGAAAGATCATTCAATATTTTTTCAGAGAGCATTAGGAATATCTTTAAAACTGCCTCAGTTACCAGTTTTGAACCATTATACATAAAATCTTGAATACTGAACTGATATTTACATGGAGTAATTTATAGAACTTAATTATAAAAAAAGAATGCGTTCAAATTATACTCATATTTTTTTTTTAATAATCTCATTATATATTAAGTCAGAACTTCATTGAATGCAATTAAATTAAGTATAACTAAATAATTTAAAATAGTCTTCAAATATTAGGTATAGTGTGTTATTTTATATAAAGATTCGTTAAAGTAAATTTTGCCCCTTCAATATTTCAATATTTTTTCTTGCATCACGTAGTATAAGTTATTTCATCGCTGGAAGGATGGCATAATTGGAAATTAAGGAACATCTCGAGAGACAAATCAAGAAATTCGGCGAATATTTCGCAGCCGAGGATTTTCACTTACACTTTCTTTCAAAGAATCTGTTAGATAATGACGCATTAAGTTTATATTTATTTTCAAACAATCAAGCTTTGCCAGTGTTAATAGAAGCGTTACAAGAGATTAAGATCTTGAATTAAGCTGATAGTACAATGTAATACGTTATACACCCCACAGATTTTTTTAAAATTTGGTATCTGTTATCATCATTGGTTTGGTTATTTATTTCATTACGGCAAAGCACGTAAGGGCTATCTGCATAAACTGAGGGATGCCTTCGTTGAGGACTTTTCTAAGTGAAACTGGCTTGTACCATGCTATACACGGAAAAAATCATGAAATCACACATGCAACCAGACCATTTGCTGCTATTCGAACCCCACTCGGTCATTGGTGACCTAATCCAGGGTTCGTACACATTTCTGCACACGGAAATTAAGTACTTTTAAGGGCCATTAGTGAAAAAAATTAAGGACCTACGAGCAAAGGGGAACTGAATAAATTCAATTGAAAATATTATCTATGCCTGAATTTCACTTTTGTAATACCATCCTAAAAATAAAATAGATCCCTAAGTAGTATGCACTATTATTAAACATGAATTATTTAACATAATTGTTAATAAGTTTGAGAATAAAATAAACTTTACGCAATTTATCAAGTAGCATTAAATATTTTACACTTATAACAGTTGGTCATATTTGAAAGAAGATAAGTGACATTTACGTTTTACTAACAGTTAGCTTTACGCTGATTTTTTTTTTTTTTTTTTTTTTTTTAAATGTCTCATCTGTCACACACTTGGTTAGTCTAGAGGTTTGGTAAATAGCAGGTAGATTTTATGTCAAACGGCATTTGTTAATTTGAGAAATAAGATCATAATCAGCATGATTCATAACAAAAGACTGAATGTTGTCTCCGCTGTTGCTTGTCTAGAGAGAGACCTGGTGATTAGAACAAACCTGAAAGGCCTGATATAGGCATGGTTGGCAAATGTTGAAAGTTGGTCAGGCTCTGTTTAATGCAGTTAGTGTCATAGCTTCGTGTAGAGTTCGAGGGGTTGTAACCCAGTTAATATAATATACTTTAAGGTTCCAATAAGAAGGCATTATAGCAACAGAGGTGATAAGTTGTTTCGTATTATTTGAAGTCTCAGTAGATGCAAAGAATAAGTTTTACTTGAATTTTTACATTTTTATATTTTATCTTGTGACCACAGTGAGTATTAATGAAAGGCAATAACTCGCTTTAATATGTAGAGATAATTTTTAAGGGTAAGCAGTTAGTTATAAATACTGTATTTGAGGGCATATAAGATGCATCCTTATTTAGACGGCCACACACAAGGGAAAAAAGTTTCAATAGCGTGGTTTCTTTTAGTTCTCACCAGCCAAATAAACAATTATTGAATGCAATTACCTTCACGTATAAGATGCAGGTAACTTTTTTGAGACCAAATTTAGGAAAAAAAGTGCGTCTTATATGCCGTCAAATACGGTAATTAAATTAGGTATTTTGATAACCTTAGTCATTATGGATTTGCATGACCACTATTAAATTTTATTTTTAAACGATATTTGTTGAAAAAGCTCTATTAAAATCAAAATCTATTAAAATTTCACAGTTTAAAACACATATAATTTATGACACAGATTCTTAAACAATAGTACGATAATTACATATTAAAAGCTACAAAACATTTATGTTTTGTAACAACAACACTCAACAAAATATTTATCTGTCATTTAAATTTGAAGCATTCCCAGACATTTTGGCTAGTTTATATCGATTTCCTTCTCTTTAAGCATCTTTTCTAACAATTAGAGATTTGTCTCAATATGCAAACCAATGCGCTCGCTAGTTTCGCGTGCTTTACTCCTAACTTGTCAACCTCTCCACAATGTACCTATGAGGGTTTAATTGATCTGGCAAAAGTTAAATAGTCCATACCCCCCCCCCGACAAACATGAAGCATATTATCACTATGTCTGAAATTAACTACAATATCAGAAAAAGATTTAAATAAGCCTCTTATTTAAAAAGAATAAAAATAACTTAGAACATAAAGGCATGTTCTGATGCTAACAAAATCAATTACAGCTCATGGTGATGTAATTAAACAAGAACAGTCAAATTCAAACTAAAAATGCGGACTAGTGGTCAAAGATTATGCAATTTTATTTTAATTTAATCTGGCTCAATAGCTCTATGAGGAAATAGAAATGGGAAATTAAATTAGGTATTTTGATAACCTTAGTCATTATGGATTTGCATGACCACTATTAAATTTTATTTTTTAACGATATTTGTAAAAAAAGCCCTATTAAAATCAAAATCTAATAAAATTTCACAGTTTAAAATACATATA